CTACATTTATATTAAATTATAAATATAATAAAATATAAATCCATTGTTGTTTCAAAAGATATCTTTTTCATCATTTAATGTTATCAAAATAGCTGTGATTAAATTAAACAGTGCCTACTATATCACATTTTGTATGTTTTACTAAAATGTATATGTAACTTCAGCACATTTTCATTCGATGAACAAGCAGAATTAAAGAAACTAACTTTTTTTTTTTTTTACTTTTCAAAAATTATACTACCAGCACCTGGTATATGAATACTATAAAAAATAAATTTGAACACGTCGTAAAGCTGTGTTCATGAATGCAACAGATGCTAAAAATCAATGCTAAAATGCAACAGATGCTGATCTATTCACATGTAATAAGACACAATGAAATGTTAAAAAATTAAATACATTTTCGATTATGATTCTACTTTAGACTACTACATGATAAAAATGTGCATAATTAGTTATTAAAATGCATACTTAATTATTAAAAATTCAACATACTCTTTACATTCTTATTACTGTGCTGATATTCAATATAAAAAAATTTGATACAACTCAATAGAATATGTTCTACAAACTATTAAAAATTCCTTCAGTTGTTATGCCTAGTATCAGAAGAGACTTTTTTTTTTAAAGCTAGTTTTTCTTTAATATTTTTTAAAGTATCTATTTATTTATTCTAATGTAAACATTAAAGAGAAACTATTTAATTCAAAATCAGTTCACTGTTTCTCTTTAATTATTTTTAAACATATTTATTTATTCTTTATACCATGTCAATGTATAAGAGTAAGGTTTAAATTTTTATATTGCCAAACACAAATTCCCTTCGAGGATCTGGCCCCCACACCCTAAACTTTCCAGAAGGCCATAAGTAACTGATATTTCCTTGATCCTAATTCCAAAATGGCTCTCTTACTTTACACCTTGACTTTTTTTCTTCCAATACTTTTATTAACTTAATTGTCTGACACATTTCAAGATAAGTGTCTATCATAATATTGTTAATGTTACCTGAAATAATATGAAGTGGATCTGGTTTTAAAACTAGAATTATAATGGAATAATGATTTTCTTTCCATTTTCCAAATAAAAGTATATGCAGTAGTAAAATATTTTCAATTTTTTAACAGTTCAGTGAATAATGGGAGTTTCATGAAAGAAAAAATATAGTTTTATAAATTCCCTGAGTGAGTGTAATAGTAAAAACAGTGCAGTGATGCATTCACAGTATTTGAATTAAAGGAATTATGACAAAGGAAAATATATGTATTTGAAGTATATACTCAGAATAAATATTTTCTTAGCACCCAAAATTTTTTTTTATTTGTACTCTCAATGAACACACAAATAATGCATTGCATATCATTATTTTACAAGTAATGGGTCGGTAAGGAGGGATTAATTAACCAACTAACAACAAAAAAGGGAGAGGAGTATGTTTTTACATTTACACCTTTAATAAGAAACTAGCAGTTATTTAAGGAATTATCAAAATAATACCCAGCAAATATAATAAAATAAAAAATAAGGAAATAAATGGAAGAAAGTATATATTAATAAAGCAAGGTAACATTCCTTTAGTTAATCAAACTAATTAACACATATTGCTTTTATAATATTAGTTTCTTATACAGAGCATTAATTCATCGATTGCCAATATTTGCATACATGCCCACCAATCCATTAAAAGCAAAAAGTATAAATAGGAATTTAAATAATAGTAAGATTACATAGCAAAAAGTAAACAAACAAGATAACAACCTATAACAAATGCATGCATATTTTAAAACAAGTTTTGATTATAAGGTAATAGAAAGCAAATTTTTACAAAAATTCCCTTTACTCTTCTTTCAGCATGGTTTATAATAAATTCCACAGCAAATAACAAAAGCAAAATTAGCTTAAAATACATTAAATACTTAAAATTGTGAATTGACAAATACATAAAAATTCCTACTAATATGCAAATCAGAAGATAAACAAAAAAATTACAAAAATGCAAAACTATAAAAAAGTGGGACAAAATATATTGAAGAAAAGAACACCAAATTATGTAAAACAAACAAATGAAGAATAAGATAACAATTTTAAGATTTAGATGCAGAAATATTCTATAACATGGTGCTGAGTTTTGTATTTATAAATACTACCTAATGACCTACTATAAATTATATAAAAATGCAAATGAAATTATTGAACAAAATTATAAAAAAAATATTACCATTATAATGATTATTTCTAACAATGGCAAATGCATGAAAATTCATTTTTGCTCATAAACTTTGTTATGAAGGAAAAATGATTGGCAATAAAACACATTTACAAACAAAATAATCTGAGGGCAACTACTTAAGCTTTACTATTATCATTACAAACAACCATAAAAGTGATTTCAGAGCATTCTAGGACAGCAGCTCTTAAATTTTGTTGCCAGTGCTTTTACCATCAACAATTTCCTTTTGTTTAATACAATAGAAAATAAATATTTTCCTGCATACTAGCTTATTAGAATCTATAGTTTCTCCAAAAATTAGCTTTGTAATAAAAAAAGTCACAATATTATTTTTATGGAGCATAACATGCACTCATTACAGTTTGCTATGAGAAAGTGTTATTTCTTTGGTACTAAATGTGATTCAATGACTGAATCACATTTAGTACCAAAGAAAGCATCTGATTCAATGACTGAAGTGTGTTCAACATCCATCAGGCTTTGATAACTACTTTTTATATATGCATGGTTTAAAAAATCCTAATAAATCTAAAATTATGATAATTAAAAGAAAGCATGTCAGCTATAAAAACAAACAATTGTACTTGGTTAATACCTTACTCGAAATAGTGAATGAAATTAAATATTTAGGCTTTATTCTTGATCATAAATTTTGCTGGAAAAATCATATTATGTATTTATCTAATAAGTGTGAAAATATATTTAGAGGCTTAAACGTGTCTCTTGCAATACTTTTGGTTTAAAATCTAATGTTATTGATATGATTTATAAACAGGGTATTGCCCTCTTCATTTGCTATGTTTCTAGAGTATGAGGAACAGCTTTAGATAATTTCCCATATCCTTCGTAGAATTCAAAGAAAAATTAAACTGAGAGTTCTGTGTGCCACAGAACAGTTAGCTATGAAGCCTGTTTCACAATTTTGGGGTTTCCTCTGTTGATCTTCATGTTTTAAATGACAAAAAATTTAAAGATACCATCAGAAAATTTATTTTCGATACCAAGGTGTTTGAAGATCTTCCTCACCCTGCTGATTGTTTGCCAATTCAAACTATCATTTATGAAATTCCGTTAATGATAATCTCCCAGTTCTGTGTTACACAGATGACAGTAAAATTAATAATTGAGTTGGGTTAGCTACTCAATTATTAATTTTTCATCATGATTCTGAATTGTAATACAAGCTCTTTAGAATTTTTCAATGAATGCAGTGTTTTCCAAGCCATATTGCTGTGCATTAGTAAGTCAATTAAGTGGATATCTAATAAATGTTCATTAAGTGCTAAATTTCTTATTTGGACAGATTCTCTTATGAATAGATTCTCTTTTAATAAATTGTCACTTCTCACGCCATTCTTAAAGACCTTAATAATAAAGCTGTTAATGTGATCTTTTCTCATGCATGTGGCCACACTGGCAATCTAGAAAATGAAAGGGCTAACTTAGTTGGCAAAACAAACTACAAATCTTCAAATTAATACTCCAATGATACAGCTTAAGTCTTTCTACAAGAAGAAAAGTAGGGATGAGACAATACTCAAGTGAAATGAATTATACAGAAATTCTACTATTGCCTCTTTGACTAAATTATTTTTTCCTCCCATTCCTCACAGATTGAATAATAAAACTTTTTTCTGAAATTTTGAAATTACTAAATTTGTAACTGGACATGGTACTTTCAACTCATATCTGAAGAGATTTGGGTTATATAATACAGACTTGTGTTCCCACAGCTTCGGTGTGTGTGTGTGTGGGGGGGGTTACAAAATGTTGAACATTTGTTGTTTTGTTGTTCAAAGCTTACAGAAGGAAAAGTTAAACTCTGTGAAACTTACATTCCCCCACCCTCTTCATGTATTTGTTCAAAACAAAATGGCATTCTCTTTTGTCTGTATATTTATCTCTCACATGTCATGTGTGAATTTGTAAGTTTATTTTATTTTGTGTTGTGTTGTATTTATTTGCTTTTTTCACTTACCTCTACCTCTGTAAGCCTTGTGTCATACCACGTGGTGCACAAGGAACTTAAATATTCAATAATAAAAAAATAATAATAAAAAAAGAGTTTAAAAAAGTTCTTTTATTTGAATATATGGGCAGAAGAGAAATAACTTCTGCCAGTAGCTTTTTCTGTCAGTTCTGTGCAGGCTTTCAACAAAAAGTCAGGAATGCTATTTTGCTTGAAATTTCAAGGGATAACTATTTTTTTATCAAGTTCTACAGTTTGATAATGTTCTAAAGAAATTACAATTTTAGTTTCATAGTTTTTTTTTTTTTTTTTCAAATATCTTTTTAATGAAATAAAATAACAAGTCTCTAATTTGGAAAACCACCGACAGATCTCGGATTATTAACTCTAAAAGTCTTGGGGCTCCAAGGACCCCAATTTAAGAATTGCTGTCCTACAGGAAAATTAATGAATATAAGATCTACATTCTATATTTACTTCTAATCAGTATATCTAAGAATACAAGCATATAGTCATATACTAATAATAGAGATATATGATTTAAATGTTTTGCTTTATTCTAGAGAATTCTCTTTTGAGCCAATCTAAATTCATGGAATGATTCTTTTTCTATTTATATGGCCACACTTAATGCTAAAAAAATAACTTATTTGCAATAGAAAGACACAAACTATAAAATATAGTGTTATACTTAAAATTCAGTATAAGCAAATTAAAGATAAGACAACTCAATAACTGACAAAGCAATCTTAAACATTACTCCAGCTTTTTCAGATGAGTACATATGAACTAATCATGTACATCAAATGATTCATGTTTTTTATGAACTTTATTTTCATGATTATGTAGTGCGCCTTGATATTTAAAACTAACACCACATAAACGACAAACAAAACGTCTTTCACCTGTATGTTTTACCACATGACGATCTAATGTAGATTTGAAATCAAATGCTTTACAACAATGAGGACAAAAATACACACGTCTTTGCTCAGGTATTCTTGAATCTCTTGAGGTAGGAAGTACAATGCTATGTGGTACATCTGCATTTTTCTGCATATTATTTGAAATTACGTGTTCAGTAGAAGGATGAATTTGCAAAGAATCTTTCCCTAAACCTAAAGAAATTAGAAAACAAAAATTATAAATAATGAAGTATTTAATGCTTGCATTGTCTTTTTCTTTGGGGGCAGAGACTCTAGCTGATAACTATTTATAATTTAAAGAATAATAATTTATACAATATGACCTTTGGGTTTCAGTTCATATTCCGTATCTTCTCATAAAAATTAAACCCTGCAAATCTAAACTTCTGAGTGGCATGGCTTTTTGGATCTGCTCATGAAGACCTGTACTTAAACAACTTCTACTATTAGTTAAATTTTTACAATTACTTGTTTTACTCCCTATTTTCATAAACTTTCATCATTAAAATGATGTTCACATTATTAATGAAAGTAAGCTAGCAATACTTTAAAATATAATCTAATACATCAAGTGACAAAAAATCTCAGAATAAAAAGCACCCTGCCACTCAGGAGGTTAAATAAACAGAAGAAAGAAATTAATATATTTAATTACTGAATACATAATGTGTATGTGTGTGCATATATATATCTAATTTTAGCCTATTATTATGTTTATATAATATATATATATATATATATAAACATAATAATAGGCTAAAAATGGGAAAAAAATTAAACTTGTCCTGCACTTTATCTGCAGGATTAAAGTAGAATAAACTTAAAACATCTAAAGTTAATATTAAATTAGAATCAGAGCAAAGCAATTCCTTAACAATACAGTCAAAAGTCGTTAATTCGGACACCCATAATCCGGAATGATCTATAATCCGGACCTCAAAGCTACAAACTTTCTGCGCATGCGCGTAAGACCTTTACCGCTGCGAATTTGCGTGTGCGCGTGCGCAAAATACGTTTACGAATGCGCGTTTAATGTATAACGGACGGGATAAGCTAAGCTAAAATTATCTATTTCAGTTAATGTTGCAGATTGCGTTGTTCCTTAATCTTCGAATTGGATCCGGATAATTATTTTTTGCGGACTGTTAGAGCAATTTTATAAAAGTAAGCTTGAACTTTTCGATTATGTCAAATAGAATTTCCGATATATATTTACTAATATGTAAAGGATATACAAAGCGAAAGTATTCTTCAGAGTCCATTAAACAAAAAGTAGAATTGCTGCAAAAAATGGATAAAGGCATATCCTTTGTTTATGTAAACTTTAACGTTTGTTTATCTAAACATTGTTTATCTTTAACACCGGGCGGCGTGCAATGAATTGGAAGTTGATCCAGCACTATCCTTATCTTAAGAGCAGATGTTTTTATTTTATTTGGCTTATAATTGCTTACTCAATGTAGTATTTCATCTCGATGTTTCTTTGATATGATTTAAATCAAATGCCTCGTTATTATAATTCGCTTCGGATAGTGAAGAAAGTGATAGAGGTTATTGAAAACGAAAAAATTTCGATTGACAAATTAGTCGGTATTCTTGACACAGCAATTATAGGACTTGAACAGCGGAACTTTGTAACTGAACACGAAATTATGTCTGTTTATAGAATTAAAGAGAATGTATTATCACATAAAAAACGAAGCAACTTAAACAACTTACATTGAAAGAAATGTTTAATAAAGTAAACAAATAAATATTAAGCTTTTTTTTTTTGTAAATTTTGATACCCTTTAGATCATAATTGTTCTTTATTTCGTAAATTACGGTTTCATATTTTTAATTTTATAATTTCTGCATGCCATTTTACCAGATTTAAACTGATGATCTATAATCCGGAAAAATCGATAATCCGGAATCGCCGAAGTCCCAACGAGTCCGGATTAACGACTTTTGACTGTATTAATAATTGAAACTGTGTATAAGAGGTTTAACACAGTATCTAAAAATATTAAAAATTAAAATAAGAATTCATAGTAGAACAAGTATAGTATTCATAGTATATTTTTCGAGTTTATTCTTCTATGAATGCTTATTATAATTCTGATTTGTTTAGATATTGTGTTAAACCTTTTATACATAGTTGCAATTATTCATATTGTTGAGGAATTGCCTTGCTCTGATTCCAATTTAATATTAACTTTAAATGCTTCAGGTTTATATACATAGGTATACAAATATATATATTATTTGTAAACTTGTAGTAAGACAACATGAATTAGAGAGGCCTTAATGGTCAAGAATTTTGTGCATTGAGTTGCAAAAATTTTTAGAAATAAGAGGAACATTTAAAAGCTTATGCTAAAAAATTCATTTGACTCTATAGTTCCTTAGCAAAAATGTAAAATCATTCAACATCTAGACACAATAATAAAGTAGTAAAAGCAATCTCTTAAAAACTAAATGTTAAAATTACAAGTCGAAATAACTTGGACTTTGACAAAATCAAAAGGGCGGTAGAAAAAATTAATAAATTTGTACACTTAATATATATATATATATATATAAAACAAATGAAAAAATTATGTAAAAAAGGTTCTCAAAACAATATATTTTTACCTCTTTTTCTACATCTTACTTTTCCAACTCATTGCAGATTATATTAGATTTCACTAACTTAATTTTTATAAATTTGATTGAAGTTTGACATTCTAGTCCGCTCTTTAGTTATTAGTTTTAATTTAAATTAATTAAATAATTATTTTATACACATATATTCAAATATTAGTAAAATATCATAAAATATTACTGAGATCATTTGTGTCTTAAAAAAAAGAAAAGAAAATCATAAATCTAGACTAAAAAATTTATTTTGCAACTTTAGAATTGCTCAAATAAGTGATATTTGAACTTTCAAGTGTTAGAAATGCAATCAAAAGTATTGTTTTCTCTAAGATTGGTAAAATTAAATATACCAGTACAACAAATTGAAAAACTGACACATTTTTTATGTATGAATCTCTCTAGATGGTAAATTATTGTTAAAATAATAGACTTAATTTATTTATGCGATAAAAATTAAAGATATGCAAAAATAATAAAATAAAAGCGAAATTCGGTTTTTATACATTTATTATAAATCAAGTGCATTCAATATTTTAACACACCAAACAGTTTCTTTACAAAATCTGTCATCAAACTTGAAACAACAGAATGTGAAATTTTGAAAGCAATCAAATGGGTTATCAACTGTTTAAACAAATTCTGACAGACACATAATTAAATATGGAAAAAGTTCTATTTTAACTGACAGCAACTTGCTTTCATCCTTTATCTTTGGTTGAAAGCTCAAAGAAAAATGCATATTGAACAAGTTATTTTGCTCATAGATATAATGAATTCATATAAATTTTTCACATGCACAATTAATATACAAATTAGTCCATATATTTACTATTATATTTTTAACCATCTTTGCTGACAATCCACTTGTAAGCAAATCTCATTTTCAAATCATTTATACTGAAAGTAGCACACATTTTAAAATCTGATTTAAAGATCTAATAGTTACTCCCTCTCCCATTTTTTGTGAGCTAAAAATTTATTAATTAGCATAATAAATTATGAAGTTAGAATTTTATTTTACACTGAAAATATACAATAATAGGAACATTAAAAAAGCACAGTACAGGGCAGATGATATATATTTTTTTAAAGTTATTTTCTTAGTATCGAATGTAAATACAGTACAAAGTTTAAAATCCAGATGACCAATATCCAAGCAGGTATGCCAAAAATGTAATAACTGATTACAAAAAATGAGACTAATTGAGATTTAACTAATTGACTAAAACACCTCCAGGCTAAGGAGTGGAACTGTAGCCAGTTACTTTTATCTTTTAAGCAACAAAACATTACTAATTTTTTTCTATTTTTCAAAACTGTAACAGAAATACTATTTGCACTACAACACATTACCTCAACTTTCACAATACAGTCAAAAGACTTTAATCCGGACTCGTCGGTACTTCGGCGATTTCCGATTATCGGTTTTTCCGGATTATAGATCATCAGTTTAAATCTGGTAAGATGGCATGCAGAAATTATAAAATTAAAAATATGAAACCGTAATTTATGAAATAAAGAGCAATTATGATCTAAAGGGTATCAAAATTTACAAAAAAAAAAAAAAAAAAAAAAAAAAAAAGCTTTATATTTATTTGTTTACTATATTAACCCGCGGGAAGGCGCGTGAGTTTTGATATACGTATGTATGTACAGACATCATCAAGAAAAATCTCTTCTGCATCCATTTGAAATGCATTTTACAACCTGTTTTTGGAAAAAGTCCTTTATTCTGCCCATACATACAGATGTCATGCCAAAACATCATTTAAATGTATTCGAGAGTGGTCAAAATGGATATTTTCTTTGAAATATGATACCCAAAATTTTTCCCAATTACAATATTTCCCTTACTTTGTAAAAAGGAAGTAAAAAGCAACATTCAAAATTTTATTAGGCACTGCATTTATCATGTTTTTTAAAAACAGATTCAGCGGTAGCCAATCAGTTCTAAAAATTGAATGCAAATTTAGAATAAAATTTCCAGTTAATTAGATCTTGAAAGTCCACAGACAAATTATAATTTCTATCCACCAGCATTATTTTGCATCTGAACCAATACAACTCTAAACATATCCTCTCTTTTAACCTCAGCAACACAAATCAAGATTTCCCTGCTAATAAAAATCACCATGGATACATAAATCACATAAGAGTCTTACAAACAATATCTGTGATTCTTGGCTATCTTTCTCATATTTCTATATAGATTATGAAATCATCGTATCAACAATTAAGTGTATTTTTTATTCATACTGCCTTATTGAATACTATTCAAATGTTAAAACCATATCTTTCAGTCTTTCAATCTTTATTGCCACCTTTGAAATAAGAAACATCAGGAAGTTCTTTTGCAAACTGGGAAGTTTGGGGATGTGTTTCATGTGTGCAGCAACACCATTTCAAAAGACCTCCAAACTATCTTAAATTCATTTTATAACACAATCTAAACTTTATGTTCTTTGGCTAATTTCATTTAATAATTTTCTTATAGTTTACTGAGAAAATCCTGAACAGGAAATAAAACCTTTTATTTATCAAAATGTTTCTAATAAAATTAACAATTAATATGTGTTCTAATGTGTTAATAAACTTAATGTACCATATGCTGATGTGAAATAAAATTAAATATAAATAATAACTGATTAAAGTTTGGATGTCAGCAGTAGATTCAAACAATTCAGATCAAATAAATTTTAATGAGAAAAATTATGCTGAAAATCATTTGGGGGTGGGGAATGGAATTTGCATAACTGAATTAATTCAGTAAATTTCATTTGCTGCAGGAAGACATTTTCCTCAAAAAAAGGTTAAAATTTTAAAAACTGTTAGATTCAGTGGTTTACTGGAAGACAGGGAAAGGGGATGATAAAGCAGAATTGGCAACTATTTAAGTTATATCTCTACTTGAGCAAAGATACAAAACGAAGTTTAAAAGGCAGTTTTTGCAAATAAGCACTTAATATTCACAGATATTTAAAATGCACAAATTAGTTATAAAAATTTGACGGACTTCCATAAAAAATACTTATATTGTCAATGGGACACACTACTTCACAGAATGCCTTCAAAAGGTCCTTATTACAAAAAATATAAAGAACATGTTAAACAACTGCAAAGTAACTCACATAATTAAAAAATAAAAGTGTATCTTTTTTAGTTATAATGTGTCATAGAATGAGCAAATGCACTGTATTTTCGATTAAAGCTCTTTCCACAATGATTACATTTGTATGGCCTTTCAGCACTATGAACAGATTTATGCTGTCCTAATGCACCTTTTTGCTTAAATCGCTTTCCACAGATATCACATGCATAAGGTCTTTCCCCTGTGTGAATATTACAATGATATGCCAAAGATGTTCTACTTCGAAATGCTTTGTTGCATATTTGACACATAAATGGTCCAGATTTATAAATGGATGAATCTTGAGAGAAAACATAAGCATTCTTTGCATACGGAAAACTATGCTGAGAAACACATGAAGCAAAGCCTAAAAGAAAATTTTGAAATAAGATTATAAAAAAGAATTTTGCATTAAATACAAAAAACATACAATATGTAAAACACATACACAAGATGAACAGGGAAACTCGTATATCTCCAAACAACTGCTTAACAGTCAACTATACTAATGACTGTGATGTATAGCTATAATAAAAGGAACACACTCTACAAAATGAGGGCAATTAAGCACTTCTATCAGCAAAATTCAAAATTTAGTGATCTTATTTGAACAAAAAAAGTCAATCATAAAATTGTGCAGCATCATTATTTACATATAAAAAGATATATAGTGCACATGAATTGAATAAATTGTTGCCGGTGCAGCCTAAAATATCCAAAACCAAAGTGTGACATATTATTCAGTCATGCAAAAGTAGAATTACAGTTGTCTGAATTTCTCAAAAAATAGGTTAAAAAAAAGTGTTCAAAAAGATATGCAAATTACAACATCCATTAGATTTCCAAGCCTCATCCACGAGCAGAAATTATCATTAAACTAGTTTGACAACTCACAGAAACTAAGTACTGTAAATTATCCTTATTTCAATTTTTTTATAAGAGATTAATCATTTTAGTGTATCCACAACAGAGTATTGAAGACCAGAGTGCACACAGACACTACAAATGTGCAACAAACATAAAATATAACTTCAGAAAATATTAAAAGAACATGCTAAATATGAATCATACACTTTCAGAAACATACAAAAATACAAGCATATACATAAGATCGCCATATTATTACAAGAATATATAATACAAAATATACATACACAATTAATTTTTTCATAGAGAAAAGTATATTTCTTGCAATCATCATTTGTTACGTGGAGCCAAAAGATCAGAATAAAACCAATTCAAATAAAGGACTTGCAGCACATAGTTTTTGAACTTTGAGAGTGACATATTAAGAAAAATAAGTTCATTACAGTTCTAACCAAAAACTTTATTTTAAAATAAATAAAACTTGCATGCTAAATGAACAATCAAATTATGCAGATACAACATAGTTAAATAATAAACAGCACTTTAAAAACATAATAATAGTGTTTTTATACAGATATAAATATTCTTATTTTCTGAATAAAATTAAAAATACACCAAATAAAATAAGAAAATTTAAAAAAAATAAAATATGAAAGCATATAGCAACTTAACTTGCCTGTAAATAAAACCAAGCTGACCAAATAAAATCAATTTATAAAAAACATCCAAAGCAATACAAAGAAATGTTTTTTATGTAATACTTTTACTGCCTGAAAAATTAACTAAAAGAAATTTTAAACTCTTAGTCACCTTAAACATCTAAAATTAACACTTAAAACAGAAGTTTTCTGAGGGGAACATAAATAAGAGTAACAATTTCAAATAATTCTTCATACCAATTCATTTTTAATCAATTTGCTTTTTAACAGGAAAAACATTCTGGATTTGATCCCAATTTTATGTTTTTAATCAACCTAAATTTCTAAAATTAATGCTTTGAAAAGAAGTTAAAAAAGATAATTAAGTATAACAATTACAAGTGATCCTTCATGCAATTTTTTTTAATATCAGTTACTCTTTAAAAAATAAAACAAATAAGATTTCACTCCAGCAGTTTATTATCTTTTTAAGCAGAAAAGAAATGTGCATTTAAACTATAATAATACAGATAGGCACATAAAAAATACAAAACTGAATATCAGAGAAAAAATTTCATTAAATGGGTCAAATACAAAGAAAACTGAATCTATGCAAAACATTCAAATTACAACTGAATCCAAATACATTGAAGCAATTAGAAAAGATATATAGCTGCATCCATGAGAAGAAAATTCTTAGATTTTTATATATGGATGTATATAAAGCAAAAATTTAGAAAAATATAGGGGGAATAAACAAGGGAATATCAATAACTGTAAGAAATGGGCAGTTTTGTTTACAAGTTTGCAATTCTAAATTAGACTTTGTTATGCATTTTATTTTCCTGTTATTAGCTACCTACCAGAGCACACTACAGCAGTGAAGGAAATAACTGCAACAATATGCCCACATAGAAAGAAAAATGAAGGATCTGTCAAATTTCTAATGTGGGCAAGTTATGGATGCTTGATTAGTAAGGGCACAGATAAGCAAAGCTGTTGTTAACAGAATTTCAAAAGCAGTCTTGGATAACCTGACTGCCTGCTTACATAAAGTATGGAAGTACACTATAAGATATGACCATGAGAATGTAAAGTTGAATACCAGTGCCAGGGATTGCTAATAGAAGTGGGTGGTTCGAATATACTGAAGCACAATGGCAAAAATGATAGCAAAACTGAATTCCTACTTTCCAAAACCTTCCCTCCCCCCCAAAAAAATCATGGAGGTAGGAAGTAAGAAGGAGTCGCCCTAAACAAGTTTCTCCGTACCCTGCTCTGAAGCACCGGCGATCCCTACGTGGTGACCAAAACATTGGGTCATTTACCATTGAGTTCTATGGGATTTGACGCGTTCGGGTGTAAATATTTTGTAATTACGTCGCAAATACATATAATAAATGTATATATTTTCTTTTTCTACAACACTTCAGAGTCCTAAGTATGTGAAAACAACATATTTTTAAAACAACATTTCATTCTGAACGGAATTAAATGCTATACTTTTCACAGGACAGTTTTCTCAGAATGGTTTTTTAATTTGAATGAAATATTTTCACAAGTTTTCGTTAATTACATTAGAAAAAAAAATTAAGGTAATTCGATTTTATTCGGTTAAGGTACAAAAAATTAAGATCAAAGTTTATTGTATTATTAATATTAAAATTATGCATTATTTCTTTTCTATTTATAGAGCTTCTTCCTAAAATACTTTCTTAAATATGACATGATTTTTTTGGCTTCTTTTAAATCGAAAAATGTAAGTCAATTTATAATTAATGCTCTATTCGGTTCATTTTAAATTAGAGAATTATTAGGAATTAAATAGTATTGACTTTCTCTGAACATTTCCCTAAGTATTATTTAAAACTTGTAACTGAGTTATTATAAAATTTAAAGGGAATAATTCTTTTAATATACTTATCAGATTTTTTTTTTTTTTTACCCTTCATTTCAACAATACATATTCCAAAACTCTTTATTACGTTCTTAAGTGCGCATCTCATAGCATTTGCTTTACAATACCTTTTAAGAGATTGCTTTCCAATACGAACAATTCTTGCTTAAATAGTTTTATAACGTATTTGTCAACAGGATTTCAATTTATGTTTACAATTCAATATTAAGGTTATTATATATTTAGATAACATTTATAATCATTATAAATTAGATACATTTAATCATTAGATTTCTTCACAGTACTTTCACAGTTGTTTATAAGTGAATAAATTCTTCATTTCAAATACATTTATAAATAATTTAATGAATATTTAAGTATTTTGTCAAAGGCAGATACATGCTTTTTGCAAGCACATGCATAAATACCCATACATATTTCCTATTTATCATTTTCCGGCATGTGCAAATCTTTAATTTCTGTGCATTCACTATATTTTCGTGTAAAGTAATTTACACTAATTTAGCATACACCCGAAAGTTTTACATAAAAAATATATATGAATATAATTTGAATGAAAATTATAAGTATTATTTTTAATACCCACTCAATGGTCAGTTTTTCTTCAAAATTCCTCCACGATGGCACCTCTCTCTTTAGGCAGATAGCCCTTGCATGCGTTACTCTTGTAATGTATTTTGCAGTAATTTACAAAACAGACAATCTTCTTAGCAGAACATAAATTTTATTTCTAGTTCACAGTGATAGACAAATTTTATACAATTCTTAAGTGCCAAAATTTTCATACTTCTCCTAGCTGGTAAAATCTTCGGAATACTAAACCTTTTTAAAACAATATCTCTCGTTGCTGAGTAACGTTTGATACAATATGACGTTGCCACTTCAACAAATAATTATATTTATTTATTAAATAACAGATATTACAACCTCTCCCCCTCCAGATAAACTTTAATTTATATTTTATAAATTAAAGTTTACAGTTTTTAAAACAATAATATCAGGCACAACAGAGAATTAAAATACAAGCATTTAAAGGAGAATTAAACAAGAAATAACATAATAACATACACTGAAGAAGAGAGGAAGGAACAAATTTTTTTTTTTTTTTTTTTATCTATATAGAGAAACAAATTATTTAATCAGGCCAGGGAGTACGACTTAATGCATTTACATTTTTATGGTTTTTACCACTTCGATGAACGATCGTGTAATTGTAGGGTTGTAGTACCAGTGCCCATCTCATAAGTCGTGGATTTAGACTCACATTATTTTTGAGCCAAACTAAGGGATTATGATCGGTCATGATGAGGAATTTAGTATGCCCGTCTACTAACATTGAAGTGCAGTTTCTTACAGCAAATATTATGGCGGCGCATTCCTTTTCTGTGGTAGAGTACTTTTTTTTCAGTTTCTGTAAACTTCTTACTGAGGTATAATACTGGATGTTCATTGTCTCGTTCATCTTTTTGAGCTAAAATTACACCCATACCAGAGTCTGAAACATCAATTTGCAAAATAAACTCCTTATTGAAATCAGGCGAGTGTTGAATAGAGGCTTTTGTGGCAGTTTTATTCCTTCAAGCAACTCGCTCTTGTCTGTTTAGTTTCGTTAAAAACTTCTCCTTCACTTGCATCTCAACTGCAGAACTTGGAAAACTCATCTAGAATTTTTAAATGAGAATCGGTTTAAATTTGTCAGTTCTTTCTTTTCAGATAGCTTTTGCTCCTTGCAAGATGAATCTTTTGTTCTTATCTGTTACTTGCATTCTTATTGAATTTGGCAACTTTGAGTATCCTTTATCATGTTTATGCCTCTTTGTTAAGTTTTCTGACGCGAGCTTATATTCTGAATGTATTTTTAATTTCTTAGCTTTAGAAGCACCTTCATGAGTTCTTTTATCAGAAGTTCTTTGATCTGCTGTTAACAAACTGTCAAACACATCTTTGCTTTTTGGAGAAGAAGGAACTGGGGAACTTGTAGAGGAATAATCCCACACATTATCCATAGAAGATGAATCACCAGGTAAATAAGGTGAGTCAACTTCCATATAAATAACTTCAGCTTTCTCATCAAGAGATGAGCGCTTAGATTGTTTGTCAGATTTCTGTGAAGCATTGATAGGAGCTTGACTTTTAGGAGTGTGAGTATTGACCAAATTACCTTGAGTTTTAGTAATATTATTGTTTGGTGGTTCTGTATCAAAGATGTATAGTTCTGCATTTGATCCCTATATTTTTCAGGAATAACAATTAATTCCCTTTCATTTCCATTTTTATCTAATTTCGTTTTCATCAACATCCCGTTCTCCTTTACTTTGAAATCATTTCTGAAATTTTCACTTATAGCTTCGCTAAGCAATGAGGCTAGATCTCTGCTTTGATGCTGAGATTCAATTAATTCCTTTGAATTAACATTAATTACTTTCTTCATTTATTTGTCTTCCTCTTCAGCTTTGCAGGTTAAAATATATCATCAGTCTCAATAATAGACAGTTCTTCTGGTTTCCCCATTGTCGGTGTCTCTACTTCGATCTTCTTCACGAGATCGTTTTACTTGAAATCGTGTCAAAACCGCATTTATTTTTTTCTAAATTTAAAAATTGTTTATTTCTGAACAACTGGAGCAGTTTTGTTACCCAATACGTATCTTCCGGGATCATTTGTAACAACAGCTGCCTTTGTCGTTATATGACTAAGTTCACAATTAATAATTTCATCTTACCGCTAACGGTAGACACACTAAATGGTCATTTAAAATATATTGTTACCCTGACATGTTCTCCAGTCATTTTTGCGTTATCTATGTATTTTCCGAGAAATAACATCAACAGTGGCTCCTGTGTCTCGAAGAATAGGCATTTCATACCCATTAACTAAACCGTTAATTTGTATATGTCTGTAACAAATCATCATTTCCAAGATACGCAATTTACCTTTCATTTGGTTTTAAGCGAGGGACACTGAGGCTTAAAATGTTCGTATGATCCACACTCGAAACAACGTGGTCGATATCTTTTGTCATATAAATTTTCTTGGTTTTTGTTTTAGAACTGATTCCTTTGCTGATGATCTTTTTGTATTTTGAATCATCCATCTATCAGAATGCTTTAAAATGAGGCGGATACTCTATTTTTTTCACAAAATTATCATAACGCAGTTTAAATGACCTTTGTTAAATTTCTCAGTTGATTGGTAAAAATTCGGTTTATTATTTTCCATCTTAAAACTTCAATTTCTTAACATTCTGGTGAATGAGGTTTCCTTGTCCATAAGTTCTTGAATCGGAGAAGTACGTTTTTATTTGACAACGCAGAGACTTTGCGTCAATTTTAAGTTAATCCTTACCTTGTATGGTGTCTCTTCATGAGTCATAAATTCAAAGATCGTTTCGTTTCAGGAGTCAAGGTTGGGAGAGCATTAGAATTTCAAATCAAAACTTCAAGATTTCTTAGAACATAGAAATAACATTTATTAACGATAAACTTATATTACTTCCGCCTATAGCGGCCATGAAACATAATCAAGCATCAAATAAATATGACATGCGTCATTATTCTTCATGTTCAAGCGTCAAGTGAATATTTTTCATCGGCGCGCATCAAGAGCGCCACCTATCTACCAAAAAGACGGAACATACTCCGCCCCGATGAACATTGGTTCATTACAACATTATTATAAAAATCTTCAATTTTAGATTCAAACAAGTTTTCCAAAGTTCAACAGTATATCATATAAAATAAAAATGCATAATGACAAATTTAAATTGAATAACAACATTAAATTTAGCACAAAATTTTACAAATAAAACATACTTACAATCTCTAGAAGGAAAAAAAAATAATGAAACTGCTAAATTACCATAATCCACAATTGTGGTCCATTCTCTGAATCTGAAACATAATTGAATTAATAATAATAATAAAGACACAAATTATGAATATACAATTAATGGTTTTTTTTTTTTTAGAGTCTTATTCACTCAATGGTAAGCGGGAAAGTTTATGTATAGGACGCTTCATTTCGCCCAATAAAGTTTTTAGTTTCACAACACGAACTTTTCCATCAGCACCAGGATATAGTTCAATTACTCGTCCAAGTCGCCACTTTAATGGAGGCAAATTTTCGTCCTTTATCAAGACTAAGTCATTGAGGGCTAAATTTGGTTTATCCCTCAACCATTTGGTACGCCCTTGTAATTGTGAAAGATAATCTCTAGACCAACGTTTCCAAAAGCTCTGGAAAATTTGCTGTGTCAATTTCCATCTTTCAGCAGGGGTTAGCTTATTATTTGTAAGATCAGGTTCAGGAATTGCTGTTAATGTAGTCCCAATTAGGAAATGTCCAGGTGTTAAAGGATTAAAATCTTCAGGGTCAGATGAGATGGAAACTATTGGCCTGGAATTCAAACACGCCTCGATCTGTGTAATTAAGGTGTGAAATTCTTCGTATGTCAGAACCTGGGTCCCAATAGTCCGCTTTAAGTGAATCTTCATTTGTTTCACTCCAGCCTCCCAAAGGCCTCCAAAGTGAGGGGCAGCAGGAGGATTGAAGATCCATTGAATATTTTCACCGCTCAGGTAGTTTTGAAATGCTTCGTCAGAGGAAAGTGTAGCTATGTATCTTCTTAATTCTCGATCAGCCCCAACAAAGTTGGTTCCTCTATCTGAAAAGATTTTCTTGGGTTTTCCTCTGCGTGACACAAATCTTTTCAGAGATGCTAGGAATGCTTCAGTTGTTAGATCACTGACTACTTCTAGGTGAATGGCCTTTGTGGTGAAGCATATGTAAAGGCAAACGTAACATTTATATCTCGTTCCTCCTCTTCCTTTCCTAGCTTTAATTAAAAAGGGGCCTGCAAAATCTAGTCCTGTATTCGAGAATGTTCTATCCGGCAGGCAATACGCGAGAAGCAGGTAGGTCGCCCATTATCTGACTGGATGTGCTTGTTCGATTTTTAAAACATTTTATACATTTCCAAATTATTTTTCTTACAATTTCTCGGCCATTAACGATCCAATATTTCTGTCGCAGAGCAGATAATGTTAATGTGGCTCCTCCGTGAAGGTTCACTTCGTGAAAGTGTTTGACTATCAATTCAGTAACTTGGTGACTTTTGGGAAGAATGATTGGATACTTTGTGTTTTCTGAAAGATTCGAGTTACAGAGTCTACCACCGACTCTAAGGATTTCTTCTCTATCAAGAAAAGGATTTAATTTCAGGATTTTACTGCTGAGATTCAATTTCTTCCCTGCTTTCAAAAGTCTAATTTCTTCTCTAAATTCGGAATTTTGCATGATTTTAAAAATCAAATTGCTTGCCTTATCCAATTCTTGAACTGTTAAAAAAACCCTTGAGTTTTAAAGATGTAGGTTTAATATTGTGGCAGAATCTTAAACACCATGCAGTTACGCGTTTCAATTTTTTCCAGGATGAAAACCTGGATGTCAATTCAAATTCAGCCTCTTGGCTAATAACAGAACATACAGTAGTTTGACGCTGTTCTACCTGTACCTCTTCCACCATAGGCTCGATCAAAGGATCAAAAGATGATGAAGGTACATTTTTCTCTTTTAACCACACTGGTCCATTGAACCAAAGTTTATTTTCCACTAGATCAGAAGCTCTTAATCCACGTGAAACTATGTCAGCCGGATTGTCATTTCCCTTACAGTATTTCCATTGCGAAGGTGATACAACATCTTGTATTTCACGTACACGATTAGCAACAAAGGGTTTCCATTTATCAGCGGTACCCCTGATCCAGTGAAGAACAATTTTAGAGTCACTAAAACAAAATACATTATCTTCTTGGATATTAAATAATTTCCTTAAATATTTAACTATTCTTGCGGCAATAATGGCTCCCATAAGTTCTAAACGAGGCAAGGTTAATTTTTTAAGTGGGGATACACGGCTCTTTGAAAGAACAAAAGACGTACAGCAAGAATCAGGATCACGAAAATATGCAACAGCTCCATATCCCTTGAGGCTGGCGTCACAAAAGACAAAAAGCTCTATTTTATCGAAATTTACACATTCATCATTTAATATGTATTTTCTAGGAATACACAAGTTGAGAATAACTTCAATTTCAAAGTACCAAGTTTTAAATTTTTCACTCAAATAAGCTGGGCAAAATTGTGTCCCAATCAATACCCAATTCCCATAACTCTTGTAATAAGAATTTTATTCTGATAACAAAGGGTGCAATGAATCCAACTGGGTCATAAATTTTTGCCACAATCTGTAATACCTTTCGCTTTGTAACGTGTTTCCAGTCAACTGGTTGTAAAAGTTCTTGTACATCTAATTTCAATGTGTCCTCATCCAAATCCCAAATTATTCCCAGCACCTTCTTTAACGTTTTCTTATCCAAATTATCTTCCTTATTAATTAAACCAATATCTTGCCAATGATTTTTTAAAGATACGGAATTTGATTCAAATTTTCTTAAGTTCATACCAGCGTCTTGAAGAATTTTAACTGCATCAGTTGATAATGAGAAAACTTCTTCAACGGAGTCTGCTCCATGGATAAGGTCATCAACATATAAGGACTTATTTAACATGTCAACAGCTTTGCTATATTTCTTTTCATAACCCTTAATATGATGTTTGATAGTGGCGGACAAAATAAACGGACTTGTTGTCATTCCAAACGGCACTCGGCACATTCGGAAAACCTTAAAGCCTAAACTATTGTCACTATTCGTCGTAAGAATGATCAAACCACAAGAACCTTAAAAAATTTCTATCTTCACTATCAATTTGAATTTGGTGAAAAGCCTTCTCTATGTCTGCACAAAATGCAACTTTATGTACGCGAAATTTTAAAATTATATCCAACAAGTTAGGATTTAAATTAGGGCCTGATATCAAACATTCATTTAACGATTTAGCTCCTTCAGACTTAGAAGAGGCATCATAAACTATTCTTATTCTTGTTGTTACTTTTCCTTCACGTATAACGGGCCTATGAGGCATATAATAACAGTTAGGTTCATTTTCAACAAACTTACATTGTTCAACAATCCCCCTTTCAACTTGTTCTCTAATTATATTATCATATTCATTATATAGGAAATCATTTCCCTTTAATTTATGCTTTAGTCCTAGAAATCGTTGTTTAGCAACGAAAAAATTATCAGCGAGTTGTGATTTATTGTCCTTCCAAAAGAGTTTTGTTTCGTATCTGCCGTTATTAAATTTTAAAGTGTCGTTAAAATGC